AATTCAGACAGTGACATCTCGGGACTGCTTTGCCTTTTTCCCATGGAACGTGTAGATACACAACTACTGAATTTCTGAGAGTTGCTTTTTTTCCACAAAAGAACGCTTCTTTTTTCAGGTTAGAAAACTGAAGATGCAGTTGGAAGAAGAACGACAGAAATATTCTAAAAGCGACGGGATGAATCCAGATATCATAGGCTTAGAGAATGGTTCTGACTTACAGCTAATTGAAATGCAAAGTAGGTAATGGTTACTGTTCAAAGCTATTCTTACTGGGGAGAGGAAACAGACTCTTCTGACTCCTTTTCCTATGTTGTTGTGCAGTAGTAGCATTGTGAATGAATATATCATTGGAGCAGCTAGTTTTTTTGTTGGTATATCTCCTTGCAGGAGTCTTCTCACTTCAGAATAGCTTAAAAATCTGCCTCTCTCAGTGCTGGATAACAACATCTTGGGAAGTTATGTTTCAGTTGGTGGCCTTGCCTAGAATGGTTGCCACTACTTGAATAATTTCAATTTTTAGAGGATAGAACTTCAGCTGAGATATTTTGTTAATATAGTCTACGTGATTTTTTTATTTTGTTGAATCTTTGATACAGAAACTTCATCTAAAAGACTATTATTCTCTGAAGCAAAACTCGAAAAAAATATTAAAGTTTAACACAGTATTCAGTGTTGCTTCATAGAAGCACTAAACTGCTTTCCATTTCAAGCAAGCTATTTCTTCAGCTGAAAAATTTGTTTGATGGATTGTCATTTAATACGCTTGTGGCGAGGAACATGCACAGAGCACTGGCAGTGTCAGGGCTAAAATACAACACCAAAATAATTTGCAAAGCTCCTTGGAGTTTTTCAGGCAGGTTCAAGCCTTGTGCTCTTCATCATTCAAATGTTATTACAGATGTCTACACAAAATGCTGCTGATATTATGTCTGTCGTTATTTGAGTTTTGCAGTGTTGATTGTGTTGATTCTCTCTTTTGAGAGATGACTTTGCTGATCTAAACGTTTTTTAAAAGGTGTGTATTTAATTTATACATCTGAGATTTAATGCACACTCTTACAGAGACAGTAGTTGTGTTCTCTAAGTAACAGGAAAATTATTTCCTTTTCATACTCTCAAAAAAGATTTCTAAAAGAACGTTTACCACTTTATAATCCTGTATATGGGCTTCTCAATAGAATGGTCTTTTTAACACATATTAATTAAAAGGGAAATTGCCAGTTCAGAATTGCTTTGAGTAATATATTTGTGTCAATTTTTGTCTAGGAGATGCCAACAGACAAATTAGCGAATACAAATTTAAGCTTTCAAAAGCTGAACAAGATATAACTACCTTGGAACAAAATGTAAGTGTGTCTGTCTTCATATTTATTGTTATCATTACAACTTGCTCTGCACACTTTACAATACTTTTTTCAACAGAAACTATGAAAACGTACTTCATAATGTGATTTACTGTTTGTTCTTTGGTTTGCACAGAATGGCACTACATTTGTGGCTTTTTTCATGTTTCCTGCAATTCAATACCTGTGCATAGTCTAACTGTAAGAGAAAATAATGTGGAGTTAATTTACTAAGATGTGAGCGTACCGCAGAATATAAAGAGGAACTGAAGCTACTAGTAAAAAGAAAATTGGTTTGTGTAGCTTAATTACTTTTAAGAAAGTTGTATAGACTGTGGAAGGTACATAACTTACTCTGAAATTCAAGAATTTGTTTTTATAGATAAACATGTAGATCTGTCTCACGCTGGTTTACTCACACTTTGTAAGTCAATAACGTGGTGTTATAGTTCAGCATCTCTATAGCTCACCTAAAAATCACATACAGGGTTATCATTTGAATCAGAGATGCATAGTTGGTCTATCTTGCACAGCAACAAGCTAATAGCCTGCACTGTGGATTTAGGGGTAGCAGTGAGCTATAAATAATATAACAATCCAGCAAGTGGGCTGTAACACCTGCAGACTGCAACCAGGATTTGTCTTGAGTCCTCTCTTTTATGCTGAACTATGTGCTTGAGCTCAAGACCTCTTGCATCATGTCCTGGTAACAGTTACAGTCTCCTTCTACTTTGCACCTTTTCATATGGTCTCTGCTTTTCAACTTTTGTTTTTAATCACACGTGTTCCCCAATTCTTGATTTCTTTTCTTTTTTCCCAGCTCTTCTCTCTGCTTAGTTCTTTAACCTGTATCTTCTCAGCTGTGTCCTATGCTACGTTCCATTCTCTACCGTTTCCTGTGACCCTTGCCAGGGAGGCACAGGCAGTGAAGGGTATTCCGAGCTTCTGCCCACAATTTATTTTACCTTTTTATTAGTTCTTTTAAACACTCTATTTGCAATTATGACTGCTGCTAAACACAGTCATACCTCCTCTTTGCATAGGGAGGCACTACGGATAATTCACAGGATGCCTTGTGGTGGTTTTTCAGAACAGGACGAACAGCTGGTGGCAGGTGAGCTCAGGGTGGAACACCTGAGTAATTGTTCCTTTTCTTCTTGTTTGGGTCTGCAGATTGGCCGACTTGAGGGGCAGGTTGCAAGGTATAAAAATGCAGCAGAAAATGCAGAAAAAGTAGAAGATGAACTCAAAGCTGAAAAGAGGAAACTTCAGCGAGAGGTAATCGACTTGATTTCCTTTTCAGCTGTATGCTTTTTTTCAGTCTTGAACCGTTCTTTCTTTTGTCTCCAAGCTGTGCTTTTTTGTAATCTTTGGTTACAGCGTTTTAAGTGTTTTTTGAGGAGGCCTCTTCCTTTTCAGCTGTATGCTTTTTTTCAGCCTTGAACTGTTCTTTCTTTTGTCTCCAAGCTCTGCTTTTTGTAATCTTTGGTTACAGCGTTTAAGTGTTTTTTGAGGAGGCCTCCGAGTCTATCAGTGTTGTATTCAGAAGATAACTGTAGCACATAAAAGTAATACTAATTACAATTCAACGCAGTACTTCCTTGAAAGCAAGGATCTCAAGTTGTATTTTCTTCTAAATGTGATAACTTGTAATATCCTAAACTAATCCTTCCATAAAAATTACTGGAGAGTCAAATGCTTCCTATTTCAAGTGCCAGCCTGGGAAGTTTCCAGCATGCACCTCACAAGGAGCTGGGAAGAAGCTGTATTTAACTAAGCTGTTGATCATGCTTGCTTAAGAGCTGCTGCATGACTAGTGTGATGCCTGCTATCCAAGGCAATATATATCCATCAGCAAGCGACAATGGTGGAGAGGACTTTACCTTTAAATAAAATGTAATAGGCAATTGCAAGCAGATAGTTCTTTTGGAATGAGTATGTTTCAGTTGCTTCCCAGTTTTTTCTTTTTAACAGTTGAGTTCTGGTTCATCCGACTGCAATAATGAAAGTGTTTTGTCTTAACTTATGTCTCGCCCTCATTAAAGCATTATAATACTTACATTCCTGATTTGATTTCCTCTGTCAAAGCTTAAGAAAAAGTGATCGTAAGTTTTTCTTTCGTTTTATAGTTAAGAACAGCACTGGATAAGATAGAAGAGATGGAGATGACCAATAGCCACTTACTGAAAAGGCTGGAGAAGATGAAGGCAAATAGGACTGCGCTTTTATCTCAACAGTGAAGTGGAAACTGAAAATATGATGCACTGCTCCTTGAATAACTAGCCCTTAGCTTGTTTTTAAATACAGACTTTCATTTGGCACAAACTGTTTGAACACGGAGCTGTTCATTGGTGTTTTAGTTTCATAATTAAATGGCATACTTTTTGTAACTTATGAGAGAATGAAATTTAGTTTGAATTCCCATATGAATGACAGCATTTTTTCTGTAGCATTTGATTCTAGAGTCAGAGCTGGAGCACAATGCTGTATGTTTGACTTAGCGATAGAAAATGTTTTTACAACTGTGGAATCAAGTTTACTCACGATCTCTTTTGGCTGCTTTAATGATGCTTGATGCTCAGAGACAACTGCATGAATTCAAGAAGACACTGTATTACTGTATTATTAACATGTATTTGCTCAAGACATCACACAGCACAAGTGCCTTTTATCTGGTGCAATTTAGACTTCATTGTTGAAATAACCTTTGAAATCAGATAACGTTTTATTTTAAGATACATTTGGGGTATTCGCTAAACTTTATACATTTTGAAAATACATTTTTGTAAAATATTTAAATTTTGTAAGGAAAAAAAGTAAGGACTGTATATAAAAATCTGCTTTTTTTGCATGGGCACATCCAAGTTTAGGTAATTTTGTCAAATACTAGACCGTGATACTCTTAGTATTAAGAGTGCAGATTTAAAAACTTCTGTTGTACACCATCAAATTATATGTCATCTGCTGCTTAAGTGTGAATTGAAATTTTAGGGTGGGAGGAAGGGGGGGGAAACGTGGCTAAGGAGTTTATTAAATGGACACTTTACTGACCAAACCTAGATGATTTGTGTGTTCTTTTAAATACTGAGATACCAACAGGACAGAGCAAAATCTTTGCAGAATAGTAAATTTTGATCTCCATACTCTTGAAAAGTATCTTTTGGCTTTGAAATAGTAAGTTTGAATGGGCTTTTTTCTGATTTCTTATCCCAGTGTGCTACTCTGGCAGTACTGCCACGGAGGAGGGGAGCAGTGCAAGGAAGAAGGTGCCTTCTGGAACGGTGGGGTTTTTGTCTGTTGCCTACTCTCTACAGACAGTGAATGCTATTGAGAGCTTCCACTCTTTTCAAGCTTGGCATGTCACAAGTGGGTAATGGGCAGCACCTGCAGTGGTAATTCTGAAGTATTTGAAGTGGCACTGCCACTGTGTTGGACTTAGCTTGAGGCTGGCAGGAGCCCAACATTTGATCTGAGAGAAATCATTCTTATGGACTCGGATCAGATGCTTTTCTGTTGCAAATTGCTATCCTTCAGGAGGCTTTCTCAAAGCAAGGCAGGTTTCAGGACCTTTGCAATCTAGAGGTTAGTACTTCTGCTTGTATCAGAGCTGCTTTCGAAAGAACAGCCATCTTGACAGTCCAAAACTGAAGCTTTCTGTCTCTTTTGGTTTGGGTGCTTCTTGGACTTGGAAAAGAAAAGGCCTTCCCTGTTGAGAAACCTCCTTGTAAGTAGCAGATCTCGCTAGGCCTACTCGTTAAATAAGAGACAGCTGTAGTTTGGCGATCATGTAGATCGTTCTCCATGCTGTTAACTCTGCATTTCATTGTGTACTTGTTCAGAAGAAACTATCAGGGTCTCGAGTAGTTGTTCTTAATGATGGGTATTCCAAAGAGGAAAGGGATCCTTTGGGGGTTTTGAGAGTGTTCACATGTACAAAACTCTGCTAAAACCTTATTCGGCACATGTTGGGGAGCACATCTCCTAGTTCACTTCCTCTAAACCACCACTCTGTTGAAGCTGGACATCTTATGGCACAATATTAAACTGTGATAGTCAGATACTAAGAGTTACCAGCCTACTGCAAAACTTTCTGGACCATAGGTAAAGCAACAGTACGTCCTTTCTGAAGATTAAGATTTTTAGTAGTTTTTAAATATTACTTATTACGAAGTTCTATTAGCATAGCCATTTTAGTTGTAGAGCTTCCCCAATTCTTGCTACCAGAAAATCAAAACAAATGCAACAAAATCCTCAGAATGAGATTCCCAACATCTAGACTAACTGAATAATACTGGATCCAATATGACTCTTAAGGCAATTGAAAGAGCTAAGAGGGAGCAGCTGTAGGAAGAATAAACTGCAAAGCTTTCATTTTTTTTCCAAAACAGCTCTTACCAGAAGTAAGAATCATGTTTCACTGGATTCTTGTGAACTTCTTTCATGTAAGTGTGACAGATCCAACTAAAAATGAAAAGCAAAAGCAGTAAATAAATCCAACGTGATTATCAAGCCTGTCCTATTATCAAGTTTTCCTTATAAAACTATTTTAGAATCACACAACTCAACAAAATTTTTGTAATGACCATATCATATCTGACATTTGTTTGAAGATTAGCATGTGACTTTATTTTTCAAGCTGTGATTATATGGCACTGTTAGTTATAGTGGAAGTTAATGTTGCAAACTACTTAGAATGTGTAAGAGGTCTGTCTGCTAACAGGGTACACTAAAGTTTTTAAGCAGTCCTTGAGTAAGGCTCACACTGCTTAGTAGCTGCCTGTTCAAAGTTTGGCCCTTGATATTTAACAAACCTTTTTTAAAAGCTCACTTAGCAGCACAGTGGGCTCACTGGCCACCTTCTTAACTCCCCTTTCCCCCCCTCCAGCAGTCTAAACAATCGTATTTAGCTGGTGGGAAAACAAAATCTTGAAGCAGAATGCTTGTTCACTTGCATGTGCTTGATTACTAATTTCCTTCTGAAGAGTCAATACAATGGTCAAGTCGGTAATTATTCTTCCAGGGATGCAGGCAACAGTCATTTCCTTTCTGGTGTCATCATTCTCCGTTTCTTATGTGAGTGTCTTCCCATGGTTTCTTTCTGCAGTACAGAAACAAACAAAAGTATGTTCTGTTCTACTGTTACTTAGGTAAAATGCACAGCGGATGGGATGCTCGATTCACACTGACGCCTCTCCTAACGGCTCCCTGGAGGACCTACAAAAGATTGCAGTGTTTTTATCTCTGCTAGGGTAATGTTTACAAAATGCAGTAATGGAGTTTATCTTTCTGTCCCCCACAAGTGAATGACCTCGAAATAGTGAGAGACCAGTATGATCTCACTAAAGTCCAAAGAGATCAAGTCTTCAATGCTGTGAAATAAATAGGTAGCGTTGCATGACCTCAGGAAAGATGAGACTTGCTGAGGAGACATATCTCAGGAGACAAGTGTCCACTTTCACTCATTTCCCCCCCAGGTGTCACTGCATCCCCATGAACATCAGCCATTTCAGCCAGACGGCTTGTCATCTTCCATTTCAGCATCCTGTGGCCTGACTGCACCCTCCAGAGGTCCTGCATTAAGGTCTGTTGTCCCTTCATTTGGGGCCTGTACTTAGGGGTTGTTCATGACCTGGAGAAAAGCATCCAATTTCTGCTCTCAGGAATCAGTATGAACTGGAATTTAGACACTTACAAACAAAAAATCATCTAGAGAAGTATCCCAAACTTCCTGATGTTCTTGAGATGACCTGGAAGGTACCACAAAAAGCAGTAACAAAAAAAAAAAAAAAAAGACAAGAGGTTATTTTGTCTTGATATGAGTATAGTCATGAAAAAGAAAATCTAAGTAATAGTGACTGACACTTGGATACCAAGAGAAAGCTTTTTTTTAGTTTTGGTTTGGTTTTTTTTTTTTTTACAAAAAAAATAATGCCAAAGCAGAGTTCATTTAACTAGAAGCAGTGTATCTGTGTCAGGCAAGTGAATAGTGGGTAGATGACCTCCCCAGCATTGCTGGAGACCACAAATTGCTTGTTGGCCAAATGAAAAACAAGTGTTAGCTGTGATTATGGAGAGCTTGTAGAGAAAGTCACTGTTTCTGGTCAGACCAACTGAAGTTTGGTTGAGAAAACAATTTAAGTTGGGTTTAATTTTAGAAAAAACTTTCTTGCAAGGGGAGAGAGAAGGCTATTAGTGCCTCTTTAATGCAGGGTTATGCCCAATTACTGCCTACAGAAAGGTGTGAAGCTTAGAAGTGGCCATAAGGATAATTGTAATGTAGCAGAATACCAGTATTTTTATTGAGGGCATGATTTTTAACACCCAGCAGTTTGTTCTTCCCTCAAGCTTGCAGGGGGATTTGGTCTACGGGGGGTTGTTGGGGCCGGGTGGAAAGGTCTGGTGAGTGTTTGTTTGGGGACATACAGTAGCACCAAAAAGGTAGAGAGGAACTAGATTTTCCCGATTTGTCTTTTGTGGGACACCATGTGCCACAAAGCAGCCTCTGGGGGTGTCTAATGCGCTCACAGCTTTTTCCACCAAGATTCACAGACTCACCTTGTGCCCCAGAAGATCTTCACCCCATGCTTCCCACTGAGAACCGCGAGTCCATCAACTGCAAGCTCTTGATTTAACACCACCACCCCCCAAAAAAAAATACACAGCTGAAGCCAGTCAGGTTGAGCAGCAGCAACACCAATAATATAACCCTACAGATGGGTGAGCTGAAACAAGAAACAGGCAGGGCTAGGGAAAGCCTAGGAGCCCTCGTCTACAAGTGCCAACGGCATGAGTAAGGTGCTTTGGTTGCCTGTGTTATAATTTGTCCAGTGCTTGTTCTTAATTCTCCACGTGTAATGACAGACGGTTCTCTTGCAGCCAGCAGCCCTGTGCGACTGAAGAGCATCCAGGCCAACAACACAGCTCTAGCAGAGGTTTGCAGAGGAGAAGCTCAGTGAAAGAAGCCCAGATGCTTTTCTGTTGCTAAAGGGAGAGAATCAATGCCTGAAATTTCAGATCTTTTATTTACAAGTGCTGCTTCGATCACCTGCTGTGGTATTTTGAACCCTGTCTTTGTAATGCAGTAATGGGGAGTGTTAGAACCAGCTCCAGGTAATCCTGAGGTCTCTGAACTTCAATGACTCCTGACGAGTCAGTTAGCTACACAGGGGAGGTCTTGTTGGGTTTCCCCAATAGTTCTAGCCATTAATACTTCCCCTTTTTTTGCTTTTCCTTCTGTAAGGAGAGTAAGTGCTCTCCTTTTTATGGACAGTCTGTGATTTACATAGAGTTCAGTTTGCTCATACTGTAATTGAGATGTCTATATGCGTAGCTAAATGTAGCTGCAACAAAGTGGTTTGTGCTGTCCCTCCATTAGACAAGTCTGTCAGCCTTGTATGGGCTGCCATCTTCAGAAGTTGCTTGGAAATCACTGCAGTCAGTTCCTGGGCCAGAAAAATCAGGGGATTTGTGGTGTGGTGGCATCCCACCTTCCCATCTTTGATCTGGACCTTTACTTCTGTCTGCCAGGGAGACTTCTGGTTTCTGAGTTTTCCCCTCCAAGTATCCCCATTGCTTTGTTCCTGCAGATATCCACACGATTCACCTGTGGAGGAGAAGGAGAAGGCTGGCTCTAAGTGTGGCAGAATTTGGGTTTCTCTTTTCTACTCTGCTGCCAGTTACCTGAAGCCTTGCTCTCCTGGGGACTATCAGTCTTGTTTCCGCTGCTTAATCACAGTGAAACCTTTCTTGTTGACAGAATGTGGGAATGTTTCCTTCAGTGCCTGTAACAATTCCTGTTGTCACTGGACGACAGCATTGTGCGTAAGTAGCTCTCATTAATTTCTCGTGTCATTTCTCTTTACAGTGAAGGGGGGGGGGGGGGGGTCAGGGGGAAATGTAATGCAACAAAAATAATTCCTTGTCCTAGAAATGATG